ATATACATATGATTATGTAGTATATATTCAGTGAACAGTTTCAGGGAAAAATTCAGACATATCCAATATTGACATTTTGTCACCGTCTTAAAACAATATTGCTTAAGTTCTTTTGGCTGTTTTGAGAAAACTTAATTATCAAAGCGTATAACGTGATCAAGTGTGAAAATATCTCTTTTATTGGATGTTTGGTACCAGAAACAAAACATCTGCTGTACTGGGTTCACGAGACAAGAAACAGGATCATTTTAAATATACAGTAAAAACTAAAAACCTGAAAAAAATGACTTAACCAGTTGTGTTATGACCGTGATGATTTGTGATATTTATCTTTTCTTTATTTGGGGAAAAAAAACTAACACAAACACAAGCAAACAAACAAACAAAAACACGCATACTGATTACCTCACTTGTGATCTGTGTACTTGCCGCTTTGGTGGAAGGTGTCTTGGTATTGGATGAATTTTTTTCCGATTTGAAAGGATACTGAAATGTTTAACTTAATACAAAAAGAAGGACAAAACGATAAACTTTATTTTTTTAAAATATCAAAATTGGTTTATGTTGTGTTTTGCCCCGAGGCTGTTCACTTGTGTTGGAGTGTTCACTGAGTTTCTGAAGATGTTAACACTTTCCCCGGGGCTCTTAACAATTATGACAGCAATTAGCATACAGAGTCGGAAACGTTGTGAAATTGAGGTACCTCCACCACCTAAAAGTTTTCAGTTCATAGTTTACGGAAGGCCAGCACGGATACAACTTCTTTTTACCAAGAATTATGAGAAAAAGTAGACAGCAGACCACCCCAGAGCCCCCAACGCCCCTTAACACCAGATTGAGGAAGTAGGTTTGTTGTTTTGAAGTATCAAATGCCCTAGAAAAGTGCTGACATCTTTCTGAAATTCTTTGTACGTCGGTTGTGTGTGACGCTTTTTTTTCATGTATTTGTTGTTTTTTCTCACAGGTGTCATTTCACTCCATATAATGTTCATTATTATCCAACAAATACTTTTACGAGAGATGAATAATGGTACACTTTAACTGCAAATTAGATACACGTGAATGGGAAGATAACGAATAGATATATGTTTTTTTTCTCACACAAGAAGAGTATTATTACCTTATCAATGATTGAGGAATGCCTAATCGGTATTTTTTCGTAGCAGTTGTAAACAACTTTCCTAGTGGCTTGCAGTTCATGTAGAAGGCGATGTGACTTGGGGTTTGTAATGTGGCAGAAACGATTAATTTTGTTATGTTCTACATTTCTGGTACTGACGAGAAATATTGTGGGGAACCCCCCACCCCCACTCCCAACATTATGGGTCGTAAATGTTTCAATGTCACCTTTTGTTTATAGACAGTGTCACGTGTTTAGCGTTGACGGCGTTGCACAGGGCCTGAACTCTTGTGTTTTTGTCATCCTCACGCTCTCTGCTTGAGAATTGAAAAAACAAAACGAAACAAAATTGCTACTTCAAGAGACGCTGTTAAGATGTCCTCGTTATTAACTTGTTCCGTACACAGAATACGAATTTTCTCGTGTTTTAAATCCTATTCTCACCGTTGATCATTTATAATGGAGTGTCTTCAGAAAGGCTTGGAGAGGCCTGTCGACTAAGTGGTGACGTGCTTGCTATTGTGACTGCTACTCTGTTTGCGAGGACTATTAATGAACAGAAGTTACTCTCGAGGATACAAAAATCCAGTTCTTTGGAAATCATAGAATTGTTTATTTGAGCAACACGTAATTTACACGGAAGCAATATTTTGCTTAGTTCTTTAGACAAAGTACCCGTATTTTTTTACCCTCTCTTGGCGTAATAATACATTTTGTCTGTCAGCTCAGTTCACTTTTGTTTGATTGTGTTTTGTCTTATTTTTTTTTTATCAAATGAAGAGAAGGAAAATTTGAACTGACCTGAAAACTGTCCATGTATCCTATTTGAAAGATTTTGCACTGCCCTTAAAATTTTTTTTCGTTGAACATGTATCAGGTTAAAGCTGTTTTTTTCGCCTATCTTGTGCGCATTATGTCGTTCTTGCTAAAGTCGGGTTGGAGATATAACGTAGGATCATCAATCTGAGCTCAAATGTTCCGGTGTGATATTGCTTTGATGTGCGTTTCCTCCGTCTTTATTGCCTTCTTCCTTAGCTGCTTAGTTTGGTGTAATGGTCAGGCCTTTGGACTTGCACTCAAAGAATATGAGTTCTATTCTCTCGTGTGAACGTTTATTTCATCGGCTTAGGCTTTCTCTGACAGGTAGTGCCATAGATGCCCACTGCTTATTACGTTTCAAATTGTGTTAATGGGGACGTAAAACATTTAACACTGATTTACCATCCTTCATCTTTATTCGATGCTTTTATCAAAGCGCTGAGTGCCATAGTCTTTGAAAGAACATGATTTGTCCATTAAAAATCTGAATTCTTTTTTTTTTAAATAACAAAAATTAAAAGCTAAAAAATACAAAAACAACTACAACAAATTCCAAAGCAAATCAAGACACACATTTGCCCAGGGGGACTTCTGTTCATTAGCCCACCCCCTCCCTCCACCCCCACCCCCCCTGTCTACGCAATCCCTTCTGTCGGCCTAGAGTTTTTGTTCTGATCTTCTGTTTAAATGGTTGGACAAAAGCAAGCCATTTTCAATTGACTTGAATACAGCGTTGGGCCTTGTCGTAGGAGTTTCCCTCCGTTTATTGCCCACAGCGGATGTTGTGGTAACCAAAGCAGAGACTGAGAGATGAGACAAACAGAGAGCGCCGGTGAATATCCAGCCCTCATTTATAGAGTGTGAAATATGTTGGTATCGATCCCTGCCCACACGGGAGTGCTCGGTTATCGATTGTTTTCTGCTTGACGAGTTTCCTCGTGCCATCACCTACGTGACTGACGGTTCGATTCCTTGTATACGGTGGGCCGGACGAATGACGCGTCCGATCCGAGGAATCGTTCGGTTCTCTAATCCTCTGACAATACTAAGTGTAGGCTTCATATACGAGGAGCACTTGATTAGATTGGCGAGTGTTGTCTCTTTTCATGCGTGTTTATAAACTGTATTTAGGTGTGTATATAGTTATTGTTATTGGGAACGGCTCGTACCTGTTTTTAGACAAATGTATAGGCATACCATTCCTCCGCCTAAAAATGTTGTGAAACAAAAATAATATAAAACAAATAGAGAAACAAACAAACACAAAGAAAACAAGAACCCCCCCCCCCACCTGAAGCGAAAAGAACGGAAAGTATTTGGTTTCAAGAGACTAATCACGCGTGTTTTACATTATTTGGGTATTTGCTACTCAGAAGTGTTTGTCATGAAACTATGTCCGGTGCGATGCCTTTGGGTAAAAAATCAAAAAAACCCAAACCGTTATTGTTATTACGATACTGTGGTCAAGTGCTTTAAATAGCACCTTATCTTCTTGTTATTTTCGTTTGCGTTGTCTTTGGTTTTTCTATTTATCTGAAATCTTTCGTCTTTCGTTTCCGACGTCCGGTTTCTAACAGTTTACCAAGTCGCCGTGGCGTACAAGAGATGGGAGTTCAAATCCCACCCCCAGAAGTTTATTTTATTGAGCACGGTTCTCACAGGATGCTCATCCCGGCCCCTTCCCTCCGCCAACCCCCAACTCAGCCTGGGTTGGCCCTCACACATTACAATGTTGGAGTGTACCACCTCCAAACTTGTGTTGATTGGGCTGTGAAACACAAAGACAGTCATTAGGTATTCATTCGTTTACCCTTGTTACTGAACTGTCTTTGTTGTTTTTTTAAAAAATGCATTTAGTTTGACCCCTGAGTTCGTAGATAATAATGTTATTGTGTTTGCGCTAACCAACTACATTGACAACCTTTGTTGGTGGTTGGCGGATGCTCTATATATGCATCGTCCTGATCTCTCCTCCTTCTTTTTGTGTTTGTTACACTCTTGTAACACCTCTAATCTTTGGCACTTATATGACCTTATTGTGTTGCAAGTGCCGTAAAACTCTAACCAAAACCAAACCCTTCGTGTGACGTGCACCTCGCATATCACCTAGGCACGAGGATTCAGACCAGCAGCATCTAATACCATGGCTCTAGACACGGAGAAGATCATTCGAGAGGTGCAACAGGAGCGACAAGTAGATGAAGACCGACTGAGGGGGAACAACAACAAACCTATGGGCGGCGGAAGCGACAACGACGAGTACCGGAAGATTTGGGAGCGAAATCATAACCAGGTACGGCCTGATCACCTTCACTTGTCTTGCCTACTTGTTATAGGTTTTTCTTTTGGTTTGTTTTGGTTTTGTTGATTATAACTGAATGGTGAACTTGTTGAACGTTTCTTTTTGGTTTTGTTTTGTTTTCATTTTTATTTTCTACATTTTTTTCAGCGATGGTACTGGTGAAGGTGTTTAAAAAAAAACAACAACTTTCTCTTTACTCGTAGAGGGTGCTAGAAGCCATATTATGTTTTGTTGGTCATGGTCTGTTGGAAGTAAATTATTGACAGAGATCTGTGTAACAGCTGAACGAAACAGATGGGATAGTTGTATCGGATTGTCTTTGGGGTTTTTCTTTCCTCTTAAGTCATAGGCGTTACAGCTACTGGTTTATGTTCTGATGACCATTTTATTTACTGTGTTCTTTTTAACATTTTGACAAAATGTTCATGCTTTGTTTATGTATTATGTTCATGTGTAGATTTTCAAAAAACGAAGAGCTCCAGTGTCGAGTGTAATATCTTACCTCGTGCATGCATTGCAGTACTCTATGTAAATTACACGTATATCCGCCTCTTAGTTTGTTGCCAGTAATACATCTAATGCGTTTTATTTCATGTATCACTACTAAGAAGTTTTTAGGCAGTGTTCTTCCTTTGCCCGTTTAAGTGTAATCTTTCTTAAGCAAATAGAGAGGCTCAGATAAAGTGTCATTTTCTAACTGTAGTTGCCACTATGATGAGGCTAATACTCAACTTGAATTAATTGTTAGATAGTTTGCAGTACTGACAATGGTATTCTATCTGAATCTTTCACTAAAAAACAAAACAAAAACAACTTACATTTGACCCTTCAGTTATCTTTGGCTAATAATGCAAGTAATAGTAATAGATGGGATATAGTGTGAACAAGGTTAGACCGTTTTGCCAATAGCAGCCTTAGACAAATCATTTGAGGGTCTTTGTTTTTTGGGGAAGAAGAAGAAGAAGAAGAAGAGATGTTGTGCTGTTTCCATTAGACGTCCGAGAGTCTGCGAGTGGCCGTTGCAATTTTGTCACATGGAATAGTTAAATAAGTAAGAGTGCATTCAATTTTGATGCTGTGTGAAAATATCTAATGGAAACAGCACACCGTGGTACGTTTGACTAGTGGCAGCCTCGGACAAATGCTTTCAACACTATGTTTGCGGGAAGAACAAGGGACGTTGGGCTGTTTTCATTGGATGTGAACGCTTTAAAGGTTTGTCGAAAGGGAAACCTGGAACAACAGCCAGGCACGTTTTATTCGGAATACACACCGTCTTTCAACTAATTCGATCTCAGCACAACAGACACACACTTTTGTGGTAGCAATGTACGACACAAGCCGTTTGATCGTAGTGCGTTTGAAAAATACGTAGTTCATCGTCTGCACTATCGATGATTTAAAGATTCCAATCTTTTGACTTGCCTTTTCTTTGAAGTTATATATTGTCATATCAAGATCGAAATACCAGCTCCCCGTCAGCACTGCAGTCTTTCAGTTAGTCATTTACTGGTTATTTTTTGTTTCATGGCGTGTCGCTTATAGCTGTTATTTTATTACCTGACAGTGCGTTTTGTTTCTTCGGAGCATTGTCCAACGAGAAAGACCATGTTAATTTTCTTTTGTCTCGACTGCTCCTTTTGGATGACTGGAGGTTACCGCTTTTCGAATCTTTTCCTTTCAAGTCCCCCCCCTGGTGATCTGTCTGTTTTTTTTTCTCAACTCTTTAACACCCTTTTGTGTGAGTGTGCTTCTTTGAGGCTCACATTTTTTTCTTACTTCACGAACGCGAAAAATCAACAGTTGTCTAGGTGTGATCATATTCTTCTACTCCTTTAATGTTACTGTTATTCTAATATATATCCGGTGAAAACGAAGATGCTATCGTGTTTACTGAACGTAAACAACGACAAAAACTACGATAACAATATCTAGAACAGCAGCAACAATAGAAACAGCATCACTTGTTTGTAACTCAAAATGTAACGTGAGCCAACTCAAATCCAAAAGTCCTCCTCCTCCTTCCAAAGGCGGCACCCCCCAACAAAGCCGCCGTAGCCCCCGGGGCCAGTAGCCCCACTAGGGGGCCGCCCGCCGCTGGTCGAGGGAACAACAAAGGTGTCAACATCGACGCCCTTATCGCTGAGGCCAGCAAGGAGAGGCTGGAGGAAGAGTACAGGAGGTTGTGGGAGAAGAGGCGAGCTGTAGAGGCCTCTCAGGTACAAGACGTGATGGTCGTTGTGGCTTTGGTCGTTCCCTACAGCAGTGACCCTAACCTCATGTCCCACCCCCACCCTCGCTTTGTTGTCCCTATGAGATGGCTTAATTAAGTGCTTTATTAAGTAGAGTGTACATTTGTCCGAAACACCGATTCTGTCAGATTTGGTTAGGTCCGAGAGTTAAAGTGGCCATTGCTCTTCTGTCACATGGAAAAGTTGAAAACTTAGTAAAAAGTGTATTCATTTCTGATGCCGCGTAAAAAAACCCTCAAACAATACTGTGGCTCTGTTTAACGAGCACATTTGGTCATCGGTCGTCTTCTTCTACAAACCCATCATACGATTGCCACAAAATGGCAAAAGACATATGGGTAACCGCCATTATACACATTCTACCAAATCGGACAAGTGTGCACTCCCTTTTTTAATAACGAGAAAGTATCTCGAATCTCTTGCACTTCGACTCCCTTCAAAGCTTTGGTGTCCTGTCTATGTACGCTTGGTTCCCGGTACCTTTTAAACGGTTCGACAAAATACTCACTTTTGTACCCATAGTCATAGTGTACTAGATTCTATGAAATTTCAAAAAAAGATTTGTCTGGATTTATTATTGACTATTGGATCGTCTTAAATCGTACCTAGTTCATAAAGTTTATTGAATGAAGGATCAAGATCGGCGACTTTCTACTAGTTTTCAGTTTTGCTGAACTTTTCCACGCTTGAGACATTATAACGTAAACGGTACTTCATTGGCAGTTTCACAGGAAGTTACGAATGCGCGGAAGGATTTACTTAAAGCAACGGAAAGCACTTTGATTTGTTGTTTCTATCGTAACTGATGTATTTTATCATTTCAAAACCTAGCCAAAAATAATGAAAAGGAGGTCAAAATTATTCTAGAAGATGAATTTGCAGACTCAAACGCCACTCGCTTCTTTCTACAATGGTTTAATGTCATTGTGAAAAAGATTCCGTTTTGACCATTTCGTAACATATATTTCAAAAGATCATAATGATTAAATCGGAAATAAAGTCACAACACGCTTACACACGCAAACATAACACGCACACGCGCACACACACACACACACACACACACACACACACACACACACACACACACACACACACACACACACACACACACACACAAACACGTACACACGTACACACGTACACACGTAAACACCACCCCCAAAAGCCATCTATAGCAAACATACTTCGAGTCCTGGCATCAGTGGTGTGATAGTTAGACTCTTGGCCCTGAAGGCAAGCGATAAGAGTTCTTTTCTCGCTTGAGCCAGCTTGTAGTGATCAATCTTTATTTGGAGACAAAACTGCTTCTCTTGTCTCGATCCCTACGTCACGTGTAGCTAAACTCCACCTCATCTGTACACTCTCTCTCACTCTCACACGGACGTGTAGAAAAGCGAGCCGAAGGCTGCTCAGCCGGCATCTCAAGGGCCTGCTCCCGCCTTTAATCAAAGCAAGCAGAACATTGAGAACCGTATCTCGGAGGCGAAGCAGGATGTCGACGATTACCGCCAGCGCTGGGAGCAGATGCATGGCAATGGCAAGGTATCGCAAAACGTAGGTCAACTCAACGTCCGGCTTTTCTCTCACGGAACTACCTCTCTAATTTTGTTGTTCTCCGTGAAGTCAGCCGTAGTCTGACTCCGAATTTTCCAGCAACTACATTCTTGTAATATTGATGTATTTTTTCACATTTTCCAAAATGGAGTGTTGTTGTCTCTGTCACAGTGTTCTGTACTAGCTGTAGTATGATATCCGAGTGTGTTGAGTAGAGTTAACTGTCGCTGAAAACTTGTTCCTCTCTCAAAGGATATTGCACTATGTCACTGATTGCGGAGGAGGCGGTTCTGCCCGAGTATCTCTGTCTCCACAGTTAATTAATCAATGCTCACGAAGGTAGAAAAATACATTAAGTTCAACTTATGTTATTGAGTTTCTCTCTGAGAAGGCAAACAATGCGAGCTGAGAACTAGTAAACGTAACGCATTATACAATTGAACAAATACGAACTTTTAATTAAGCAATCAGTTCCGTAGTGGTTTAAACGCTAAAGTGGTTTTCTCGTCTGCTGAGGGTTTAGATTTACGATCTATGAATTGTTAAATAAAACCCACATGAGATGGTTCGTAATGCCTCAGAAAAGAATTTTACTTCTGCAGAGAACGAGATTTTCAAAATCATCGTTTACTCTTAGATCAGTAGTTACAGTTATTTCGTTCCACACGTTACAAATCTGGACCAAGAACACACCATAGTAGCCTACGTTTTGTAACCGATGCTTCACATGATGGAGATCCTGCTTCCCGTGAATCCACAGTCAGTTGTATATCTTTTTGTTATCGAAGTGATTAGGTGAAATAGCTCCCCTGACACCGACACAGGATTAGTTGAACAAGTAGCCCACTTGCACTATTTCAGAGAGTTGTTCAAGTTTATGTGCGAGGACGCCACATCTCCACTCACCATAGTGTTTCCTCCGTATTCTCTCTGTCCTATTTAATTCATCTAGCTGTCTGTGTAACCATTTTTGCATGATTGTTGTATAATCCTTTCCTATAAAGTATCCTCTCTGTGCTGAACTCTAAACGTTGATGCTGATATCGTTACAGTCATTATTATTATGCGTATTTTTCTTCAGACCCTCATCCAAAAACACTAACCATCCACTTTTGATACGATGCCATTTTTAATACGCCATATTATTCTTTCCAAAGTGCATATAATTATCTGGTTGCATGGTCTAACTATTCACTCACAGATTTTGAATTTGAATTGCTTTGAAAATGTACATATAACATACTATTACAAGTTCAATGTCTTCGTAGAGTTGTTTGCAGGGGGTGAATGCGAGCAGCAGGCTATTATTCCAAGCATGTGTATTGTTTCACTGAATAATACTGATCTAACCGAACGATGCTCATTTCTGATTTTATTTTATTCAGTTGGTGGGACTTTTTTGTAAAACCTGTCCGGGTTGTGAGCTGGGATGTTATGTTTTGTGTCATTCATTTTGAAATGTGTGGTGAGGATATTGCAATCAAGAAGTCATCCACACTGTCTTGTTGATAAACTGACACACTGTCATGCACTCTTTCATTTATATTTACACAAGTTGAATATAGGGTACTACCGTTGGGGAACGATACTGAAATATGAACGAAGTGTGGCGAACTTGCATGAGCTCGCGAAATTTAGACTCTATTTTTTGTGAGGCAAAACGGGTATAGTAGGGTCAGCGAGAGTAAGGTTTTCGATTGTTTTGAACACTTTGTCCAGTGCTACCTGTGAATTAGCTCCGACTGAAAGCATCTCAGACAGACCTACTAATCAAAAATTGTCATTTTGTTTGAACTGCCCGAAATACCCACGAACAACCGAAAGAAGGAGGCAAAGACAACGAATACACGAAAAAACCCTTGGAAAGTACCTGTGGAGAAGCTGACAGATTCCCCAAGGAAACATTTCCCTTCAAGCAACCTGCAACTTGGAAGTGACGCCTACGAGGAGAGAAAGAAGCAACTAAAACTCCAAAGACACAAAGAAATGAAAGACTTCCTTCAGAAGGTGATGCCTTCCCGGGACTGGTCGCTGCCAGAGATACCCGATGATGCAATTGTAGATGGCTAGACGGCTAGTATGTGTTCATCTCTCCACGGGAAGTGGGATTTGGGCTCGAAGACGTTAGTGCGTCGTAGGTGTACCGTGGCTATAATACGTATGGCTTTTGTGTATCAGCAAATAATTTGCCTGCTCGTATCTATGTCTTTCAGAGCTAGGGTACGCCATTTATTCTGTTTGCTTACTCAGAATTGCAAGAGAGTGAAGATCAGGTGTTTTTTTCCGATTTACTTTTTATCCTGGCACATGTTCCTTGACCATGATGCTAGTCATCTTAAATATGAACTGGGTGCTGTCAGAATCAACGATCCCCATGTCTTTGGCCGTGCTTCCACTTCTGCTGTTTTTGCTTTTTTGCCTGTAGATTCTGCCATTGGGGCTAGCATTTGGCCGTAGCTTTTTAAAATGTTATTTTACTGTAGCTTATACAGCAGCAGGTGCTAAAGTTCCGAAATTGCAGACGTGTACAGTGTTCAGATGAGGCACAATAGAGCAGTCAGTGGGCCTGACCAAACTGGTGGCCAGAGCGAATTGGTAGCGCGAGACCCATTGATAGACCGCGACATGTCGTCTGGTGGGGCATGAAGTTTACGTATCGTGCAAAGCTCAACAGTTTTATTTGTCGCCGGTCTCTTTGATTTATGAGGGAATTTGCTCTTTGTGACACGTCTGAAAGCAAGAGGTGCCCGTAATGATAAAAGTTCTGGATTTAGAATGTGTAGTTGTTAGTCTTGTACTCGACCGTGAACAGACTGGCATGCGCGCACAAAAGCTAAGTCAGGGATACCTTGCATGAGCACGCTTAATATCTTGCCTACCACGAACCCTCGGAGGTTGCGGATGACACTTTACCCATGCCCTCGCATATCGTGTTAAGTAATTTGTTTTTGTTTCTATTTAAGTCCCCAACAAAGAATTCAAGAGAGGACGGTGCAGGTTCTCATGGTTCATTCCGCAATTCGGCGGATTATCGAAAACGATTGGCAGTAATTCGAAACCAGGAATACAACGATTTCCTTAAAAAGGTACGCTATTGAGCAGGGGTCAGAACTGTGTCGCTGACGCGTTATGATAATGGGATATCAGCACCACTTATTTCTTTTGTCATCGTCTGAACATTCTCAATATGATTAGTAATGATTCAGTGTCAGCAAATCAGCAGATCCACATGTGTGTAAAGGGGGGGGGGGGGTAAAAAGGGAAGAATGCATTTTCATGTTATCAAGAGATGTTAAATAATTTTAAAATGGCAATCTAAGTGTAAAGTGGTTTCTATACGTCAGGGTATTGAGGAACATGAGTGAGATATATTAATAATCCAGGGTAGTTTGATTGTGAATAGATATCTGTGTATATCGCTAGAGAAACACCCGACTAAAAAATATTTTAAACTTTAACGTTGACGTTCCTAATGCCAACAATTTTAAATCCAGGAATATTTTGAACTTTAGTCGTTTTCTTAAGCGAAGTCATTTTTTGCTAAGTTTCTGCTGTAACTTTTGCATTCAGAAGTCTAATCGCTGTTTGTTACCAGAAAGAAGAGTCAGAGAGAGGTAGAGGTAGCTCAAGGGCCTGGCACACGCCCGAAACTGCTCGGGACGAGGCGTTGATGCCTCTAGGGGGCTACGAGTCGAAACACAACCGCTATGAAGAGCAGCGAAAACGGGAGTACAATGACTACCTACAGAGATCTCAACCACCGCCGCCAGTGCCAGAGGAATCAGAGGTCCAATAGTAATTTTTCACCTCTTGCGTGCATCGAGTTGGATTTGAGGGAGTTTTTTTTTTTTTTGCCACAAGTGTTCAAGTGCGATGCTACACGAGTGATACTATCACACACACACACACACAGTGGGCGTGCTGGTTTCGCGCAACGCTTGTTTTTCGTTTGTTTTTTGTTTCCTCTGCACTTGATTGCAAAAGACGCCGTCAATCAGAACAGGAGAGTGACGTGAATGAAGCTTGGGGTACTTTATTCCATTGACTGGGAATACATTTTATGAAACTTGTACTTGTAATTTGTAGTCAAAATATGTCTGTAAATTGCTTGTTTTGCTTGTTCAGTTTAATGGCTTTGTTGGCTTGTGTAAAAATGACGCACTTCTTATAATCTGACTTTTGTCTTTTGCCAAATGGAAATCTTTGCCTTTGTACATGATAACTGTTTCTTTATATTATTACGAGTGCCTATGACAAGTGCGTTCAAATTCAGAGTGCCGATAGGGTATAGTGCAAGTATATACTGAACAGAACAATAGTTATATAAAACCCGCTTAAATTTACATCAATCAAAGTTGTAGATCACTCTAATTTAGATTTGAAATAGAAACTTAAAGCTTTTTTTGTTATACATTTTGCGTCGTTTTAGGAGTGTTCTGATATTAACTAAAACAGCGATTCACGAAGTTATGACTAATACACTTAACCCAAGCACAAATGTGGTTTAGTTTGATCTAATATTAAATTGGACTTCTTTTATTTAACTAACATCCTTCTTTTTTTAAAAAGAAGTAGCAGAGTGTCCCTTTCTCCTGATGAGATAACTTTGTTCGTCTTCCTGTCATTTCATTTTTGGTGATTTGTTAGTTCTCAGTTTAGAAATACTGGATCCTGGACAGTAACCATAGTCTCCACAGATTTTGATGTGCGGACTACTTATCCGGCATACATCAAACTTTGGTTCATAGACACCAACTTCAGTAAATCATAATTTGCAATATTCTGCGGGCAATGTGTGGAAAGATGGTGGAACATAATATTTATGGCTACTCAATAACGTCTGTGATGCGAAAATATCATGACGCCGTGCTACGATAATGGCAGCAATCATTTTTCTTTGTTTTGAGTAAATAGAAAAGTAAATCCTTTCCTTAGATCATAACTTTTCCTGAGCTGGAATTATTTAGAAGTGAATACACTTGATCATGACATGATGGCCATATTGCAAAAAATAAATAAATAAGTGAATAAATAAATAAATTAATTTTGAAAAGTTCTAGGTCAGTTTGATGTTGGCCTTAATATTTGTTCTTTTAAACAGCCCGTTATCGTAACACGTTGACTTTTTGTTTGTTTGGCTACTCTGGATCTGTCATCAGTGCCTCAGATATTATTTTGGAGAGGTCGCACTTTTGATTCAAATAAATTCATGAAATTTTGAGTGTCTGGAATTCTGATCCCTACCTGACGGAGTGATTTATGTTACTGGAACCACGAAAGACGCCTATCCGTTTGTTTAAACGTGGGACATATCTTCTTTTTATAGGTTTCAAATATGACTCCTAGAGGGTATTGTGTCAAGGTAGTATTGCACGCTGTGGCACCGCTTGTTAACACTGCACTGTATTGATTAGGCAAGGCAAGGGCACGAAGTGGAGACAGAACCACAGGTGAAGGCTTTGCCAATCGGGGAGCAGGAAGAATACAGAAAGAAACTGAGAGAGGAGAGACACAACGAATATGTTGACCACCTGAAGAAGGTATTGCTTTTTGTCCATTCTTATAGCCCACAAAAGTAGGATTCTTCATATCCCTGTACCCCAGAAAAATTGAGGTTTTTTTCGCATGTCAGTGGTTATACGGTGGTAATCGTTTTTATACAATTTTAAAGTGATTTACGCCATGGCGCTATGCGCATTCCATTCCTAATTGGTGTGCATTTGTTATCAAATCTCTTTTTTAACCTGTAATTATGTCTGTATGGTATAATTTTTCTGTTCAATAAAAGTTTTCAGTAATGATCCTTTAATACGTCAGTTTTACTGTGAAGCTGGCTCTCAGAGTAGCTGTATATAATAGTCATTGCGCTAGCTTAGTGCGTGATATGACTGATAAGTACTTGATCACGTACTCGACCATAGGTTTCTCGCAAAGAGAAAAAACAGTGGAATGAGCCATTTCAAGAGAAGCCACTTCTTCTAGAGGGAGAATACAGTGAAAGCAAGAAAAAGCTGGATGAGGAGAGGAAGAAAGATTATATCGAATATCAAAAGAAAAAGGTATAGCCTTCATTCGCTATTTCTTCCCCCACTAGCCGCTAATACATATCCTGCAGCGACCTATATTATTATTATTGTTATTATTATTATTATTATTATTATTATTATTATTATTATTATTATTATTATTATTATTATTATTATTATTATTATTATTCTGCTAGCCTGCATGTGCCTGCCTGTTTGGCTAACTAACTAAACAATCAATAATTCTCGTTTGTTCGTTTTACTGGCGAGTGTGTGTACCCAAATAACACTATATGTGGGAGTTTTCTTTTTAATCTCTCTCTCTCTCTCTCTCTCTCTCTCTCTCTCTCTCTCTCTCTCTCTCTCTCTCTCTCTCTCTCTCTCCCTCCCCCCTCTCTCTCTATCTCTCTCTCCCTCTTTCTCTCCTCCCCAAGTCGTCGTAGAATGTAACTTATAACTCGACTGGCTGTGTTCAAATAGGTATCTTTTGTATTTTGCATTTCTTATTAGAGAGGTAGATTTTTCTAAAGTAATAGTGGTTTTGTGAGTATACATAACGTACGTTTGAATTGTACATGAAACCGTGTGCGTGTGGTTTGCATTTTTTTGGGGGGTTTCTAGTGATAGCATGGTTGTGAGATAATGTAAAATTGCAAATGTATTCTATGCTTTGATTTTGTTTTTGTTGTGAAAACCATAGACATTGGATTTGTACTGTTTTTGGAGGTAATACTCCTACTGATTTTGAATATCTATCTTGTGAAATTATTGAAAACAATCTCGCTTGATTGTGACTCTCGGTTCATTTTGCAATGTTTTTTGTGGTTGTTATGAAGTGAAGAAACAGTTTGATGGCGTTTGTTCCTCGTCAGTTTTAATAATCTAAGCCACCAGAGAGCCTATCAGATTCATAATATGACTCACGTGTCGTACAACAAGGAAAGGTAAAGATAAATGCGTAAAACATTTAGCTACAGTAATTGTCTGTCTTAAGCACACACACACATGCACACACACTATTGTACTCACCTACCTATAAAGCATACTCCATACACTCATACACGAACTCACGTGTAGGCCATATTAAAGAACAAAATTCTCGACAACAAGAATATACTCTTTTCTCTTAGAAGTAGTTTTGAGTGTTTTCCATCTTCTTCTTCTAGATATTTATGATGTAATTTCTGGTTTTATGTCGGCTGCGGGTGTTGTCCAGTGGCTAATTTGGCAAGAATGTTCTGTATTTTATCATAGCTTGCATGTAGATTAATCTTAGATCAACTTTTTGTTGTTTAAAAAAATACATGCAGCTCTACCGTAGACGCCTCTGTATGAATAGAAAAGACTGACATATTTCTTTTGTGTTTTCAATTTTTATTCAGGATTGATTGATAGAATTATGTTACAATGTACAGTTATACTCCTGTAGTAGTTGGAACAGAACCAGAGAAGCTGTATTTTTCATAACGCAAGCTATCATCGGTGATACTCATTCTGAACTCTAAATACCAACATGCTTGGAAAATTCCAGTTGCTGCAGCTTGTTGCCCCCTGCATTCTTCTTGCTCACAAAAGATATATTATCGCACCAGCTTTCGCGCGCGCTTCTGTTGCTGCCTTTACGCTCAGCATTCTCTTCTTTCGTCTGTTTCTCGATTGCCTTGACTCCAGGGTGAGCTTGGTGGATATCAGCAGCCCAAGAAAGGCGCGGCAGTCCTGATTAGAGATGACGGACGGTCAGAGAAGTTAAGGTTAATGGAAGAGGAGCGGAACAAGGAGTATAGAGAGTTTTTGGCCTCGAAGAAGGTAACTGACTTGAATTGTCGTCGCTGTGTCGAGCGTCTTGAATTCACTGTTCGGATTACTCTGAAATGTCTGAGCCGGGCACGGCATTAGAACAGGCGCCTGTGGTGTAATCTTTTCGCCCTTTGCCTTGTATTCAGAGGACGTGTTTTGATGGTTGTCAGTGTAAGTTACAGAAAGTAATCAGCTCTTTGGCAAGTAATGGGATATAAAGTTTGTGACAATCACTGTCCTCAGCTCACACGCAGATTCATTGTTGTTGTCGTTTTAGTCTTGAATGAATGGTATAACGTAATGGTCTCTCCCTTGTGCAGCATGACGTAAATTGTTGTGAATACTTTTATTTTATTTGTTGTTAGACTTTAATTATGCTTTCACATGCTGTATAGGAATTTCGACGTTGGCATGCTGACATAGTTTTTTTGATTAATGAGATCACGCAGAGAATTAGCAGCATGGTTTCTAATCACTCAGATGGTTGCATCTTACAACCCCCCCCCAAAAAAAAAATAAAAAATAAAATAAATAGCAACAACAAAACAGACCACTCAAACCTTTATTCCAGTTAACAGTTCTACCTTCTGAATGATTTTTATTATTGCATGCATTGCATATATATGCTTTTAGTTCATGCTTTTTCTACTCTGCTCTATTTTGTTTTAGTCTGTTGTCAATTTTAAGACCAGCTTGAAATCTGGCAGATATCGTTTTTACAAATGAAAAAGACATGGTCTTATAGCAAATTAGCACTTTATCCGATAAAACCTTTGCCCCCTTCCTTCTACGGTTACGAATTTGCGTTTGATAAGTACCCAGGTGGTTAGAGGACTGAGTACTGTTGGTGGAATTGTGTACTAGTTCCTTTTCTTTCAATCTGAAAAAAGCAGGTATCGATAATGAGTGATGATAACTTTGATGATTCACTGCTAAATCTTTATGCTATGGACATACCTTAAAAAGACAACAACCAAGCAAACCCAAAGAATTGTTCCTTTTCAAGCGCTATGTCAGTCCCTTGATCCCAACTCTCAGCTGTCGAATGGATATTCGCCTTATTGGCTGTTCCTCTTTCCGTAAATGTGCTTCCTATCGAATCGACTGTTCCTCTTCATGTTATAAATGTTTTGTTCTCCTGTTATAAATACAAAAATTTCCACCGTTTTTCCTAATATACATGTAAATGTTTCGTCCGTTGCTCCTGGTGCAGATGTTAAACATTCTGTAGTTTCTTCTGGTACTTACAATGTTATTACTCTTGGCTGTTTCTTTGCCGTATGTACACCCTCATTCAGCTTTCTCTTCTTTCCTTTGTTTCTTACTCGTGCTAATTCAGCCAGGGAACAATAGAAGCCAGCAAGCCCGGAAAGACGCGGCCATCCTTATTAGGGAGGATGGGCGTAGTGCGAAATTAAAACAAATGGAAGTGGAGCGAAACAAGGAATATAATGAGATGTTGGCTAATAAGAAGGTAACCGAGCCCAAGTGAGAGGCCTTTTCCCCCCTCTTCATCTCGAGTGTGGATCTACGACTCCTTCGGCTTTGCGTGTCTAGTTTTTTTTTTTTTTAATGACCAGATTGGTTTTCACGCTGAACTCTTTAGTTTTTGCACTGACGTGAGTAGTTGTTTTGTCATGCTGACGGAAACGATTTCCACATCGTTTTTATTTTCTTCTAAAGTTGTCACCTGATTGCTAAAAGCTAGAAGTTGTCTGTCTGTCGCTCACTCACTGTTGAAAAGGCTTCGCTTTTTCTCCAAGAATTTTGATTTATTTTGTACTGTTAATATATATATTATTATTGTTTGTGTGTGAGTGTGTGTTTGGGTTGTTCCTTTCTTTTGACTGTAGACGTTAATTTTAGTAGAATTGTGTTTCTCTTCAATCTCTTTTTAATACATTTCTTGGCAATGGTAGCGTGAGACTAATACATAATGCGGACACAGGGACACTGTAGATATCCTACTTTGACTTTCATGTTATCGTTGAGTAGAATGAACCCCCCCCCCCCCAACCCGGTTTGAAATCTTTCATCTTAGGTCAAATTATTGTAAAGTCAATACGACATGTAAAAAAAGTTTTCCCGTGTAAAATGGTTCTGAACTGTTATTTCGGGTGAATTTAATGTTATACAAAACAACTGTCCTGTTTATTTTACTTTTTTCTAACATGGACACTGGTAGCTCGTTATCTTTACTGAGCTTGTTTCGTGGTTTGAGGTATGCCGGCCTATCTGTCGTATCTTTAATCACGCATCACCTCAGTTCTCGGCTTCATCTGTTTAAGGACATTTTCTCAACGTACAAAGCTATATGCTTTTTATATTGCTTTTAAACGCTTTGTGCTTGAATATATTAATAATTGTGTATTGATGATAATAATATATTATACGTATGTATATAGTTATTGCACACTACGCTATGTAACCATATAAAAACCGTAATAATCGGAACATTTATCCTGTGTGCATACGTGTGTTTAATCATGTTATAAGACTGATACTAACGCAATTTTGAGTTTGTTAATTTACATTTTTTTGGTTTTGTTTTTGTTTCGCTGTATGTATCATATCAGTCTCTACATACTGCCCCTCATTATACTTACATGTGTGCCTACATTTTGGAACAGATTTATACATTAGTCATTTTTGTATTCGCCTTTCCTCTCTTATTTACAATAACCAATGTTTTTTTTCAGGTGGGTATGGCAATTTTTGAGTTCGTTGAAGGGCGTATACTTTGTTTAATTATGCCAATACCTTGCACCATTAGGTTGGTGCTAAGCTGGTGCTATATGTGCAACAACATTGCCCATGTCCACAGTGTAGTCGTGGTTGTAGAAGAGTTGCCTTGTTTCATGTCATCTCGATTGTGTTGCGATTCTCAGCACAAAGGCGGTTCATCATCAGACATACCGGTACTCGATTTAGCGCCGGAAGTGGATGACGAGTCGGAGGAGTTTGGCCTCCTGCATGGCCTAGGTGCTGCGGACAAGAAACGGAAGGAGCAAAAAGAACCTCCGAACCAGTTGAACCTCCTAGGCCAGCACATTGTCGATCCGACCATTCGAGTATTACAGCACAGGCTTTTATTACCCGTTTATCTTTTTGTTCATTTAGTTATAAGCCCCCAGTAATCTTTTGCTTCGTAGTCTAATGTCTTCATGACCTCTAGTAGTCCTTGCGATCAATTTTCCAGTTTTGATAACGTCAAGTAACCAGTATTCTCATCCTGCATGAGCACCCTGTGGAAAGTGAATGAAGTCTCCAAAGTTGTCATGCTTCCCCCTGATGTCTCTCTTTCGTCTTTATCGTTCCAGCTATCCATCTTTGTTTTTGTTCAAGCACATGACAACCCCCAATGTTTCGATATGTTCCTCTGAAACACAATGAGAACAACTTCCTGCTTCCTCGTGCTGCACTCTCCAGCTCTCCATTGTCCTTTATGGTGCTGAACACACTTTGCAATAGATTGATTCTCTTTAGACTGAATGACCATAGAACGATTCTAGTGGTGCATGTTCCCTGCAGAATCAGCTGTGCGTTTCTGCTTTCCTTGATTTATTGTTTCTCTCTTCACGACTGAATCCACGGTGTTTTATGGATAAAATGACGACAGAAGCTGTTGGCAGTTTATTTAAAAACAACAACAACAAACCGCTGTTAACATTTTTCAAGTTGTGAACAAAGCAAAGTTATATAAAGAGTAGCGAAACTCTCTCTTACTTATTTCCTGTTATTCCCTTTTCAGTTAATTTAATTTTCCCCAGTTTTTTAAAAACACGTTCTAACGCAGGACAAGACTATTTTTTTCTTAGTCAATGCTATGACGATTTTCATTCTGACCTAGGCCGATGTCAAAGTGGGAAACATTTTTAAAAAGTGACCACATCGTTTTTCTCTACTAGCCCTTTGACGTGACGAGTCAGCTTTGGGATTTCCTGTCTCTCTCTCTCCAAGTTTACCAACCCACCTTGGGTTGTATACTGTTGTATGCTTGTCAGTTTAAGCAGTTGAAATGACTGGTATATATTTTGCACGTCTCAACTTTCTTTGCTTTTTGCCAAAACACAAAACGCAAATGTACTTGTAGTTGAAATATTTTACCCTTGAATGACATATGCTTT